AATTGAAGCATTCGGTTGGCCAGAGATAATGCGTGAGCTTCAATTAAGCCGCAACAATTAGTAAGAGGCTTATAATATGTACAAACATATTATGTATTTATGTATATGAGTGTGTGGGGCAGAATGGAAATATGTATTGGAAACATGAAATAACTGCAGGCCAACCAGTGAGCCGAGCAGTGTGGGGAAAAGCCTACAAATAATCGGGGGGGGGCGTAATTTCAAGAGGAAACGCAGTGGTTAGCAGTCAACAATATACATTTTTCCGGTCTATATGGATGTGGGCGAATGTTTAGCAATTATGTTATTTATCACAAATTTTACTCTACGGTCCTTAGACAGGCAAATTAAATTTGTTGTTTGCAGAATTTCAAACGTTGCTAATATATGAAGAACTCATATGGTTTAGCCTTTCCATTGCATGTTTGCTTAGTATGCAATACTCTTGTGCGAATCATAGTAAAGCAATTAATTTGTCGAGTTACTGTCCTGTTGCTGTCTTTGATGCTTCCTCAACAGTATCGAGGTCATCAAGTTTGCTTCTGCTATATCCTGCAGCATTTAAATACCATATAAGGCTTCATAAAGAAGAAAAAAAACAATAACAACTGTGTGGTAGCTCTCCATATCTGTATGCCAGTTCTTCATTTAACTTGACCAGCATGCACCATTTTTAACTCAGCTGTGCACTTGGCCAAGATTCTAGGATGTCTCCTTGTGTGATGTGCTCTGCCCATTCCTCTAATTGTAAGTTAATACCTTTGGCAGTTTGGCCAACTTCAGCTGCAACTTTGTGTCTGAGCTTAAAAGAAACGGGAAGAGCAAACAAACAAAAGCTACCCACACCGCTCAGTTTGTGGCACTCCAGCACGTCTGGATTTCTCCACCCTCCAGTCCCCCACTACTGCTACCGTTTGTTGTTTTTTCTCTTTTTGTACTGTTAGCATATTTTATGCAATGACAATGGCTTTGGCCTCACCACTGTTGGTAGTTTATAAATCATTTGAGATAAGCTGCTGCACAACGTACAACACCTGATGCCTTTTTGAAAGGATGCCTGCCACCTCTGCCTGTCCTCTTATGCCAATGCATGGTGGGACAATTTCAATATTTCGGTGGACAAAAAGGCCTACATTGAAACTTCATTTAAATTTGCTGCTATTCTAAAAGGTTTTCTTTTATATAAGAATATATATATGTTCTTTGATCGTTTGGAAAGAGGTTTGAACGTATGAACGCCTATAGGTCTGTTTCTATGAGTGCCAGCATATATAGTTACTGATATTGGAAGAGTATACGAAAAATATATAAAGCTATTAGTACATAAAATATTTACTCAGCTAAGTCGATTGTTATTGTTATTCAATGTTCTATACTTAAATGAATTTATAATAATAATTGTTGTTTTTATAAAATTAGGAAATGTCATTTAAAGTTTAAAAAATTAAGCACAAATGAGAGCAAGTCACTTTTGCAATTAAAAGTAAATAAAGTAAGTCGCATTTTGTTTATGTAGATTAGCAGGTCGTACCACTGTGCATTGGTTGTTGTTGAACGGCATGTCGTGTTGGTTGTGTCATTTGTGTTGTGTTGTTGGGCTTGCCATCCATTGGAGCCTTTTACGCTAAAAATTGCAAACAACGACTAAATGGGCACAAAAAACGGCAGCTCGAACGAACGACATAACAAAATTGAAAATAAAAACGTACAAAAAATTGGCAGCAGCAACAACACACATCGCATATATGTATATCTGTATATAGCATATACCCGTGGTAAAGTTGTGTGTGGTGTGTGGTGCTGTGCTGTGGCGCTGGGAAATATGAAAATGTAAATAGCATAAAATGAAAACATGCAATGGCAGCACTTTTGCCACACTTTGAGGTGGGCAGAATGGCAGCCGGCAACCAGTAACAAGCAACCAGCAACCGACAGCGGCAGCGGCACACGTCACGTGGTTGCCCCTCTTGCTCCTATGTTGTTGCTCTTGTTGTAGTTATTGTTGTCGGCTGTCCTGGCACGAGCTTCGGCCCGCTTTGACTGACGCTGAGTGCAAGCTGTTTAGCTTTCATGTGACAAAGTAAATTTCAATATATTGAAATTGTTATTTAAGTAGAGTGCACGTGGTGTTGTTGTTATTCGTGTTTTTGTTGTAGGCACCCGGGCACTGCCTTTTTTTTTATTTTTGCTGCGCCGGCAAAAATTCTTGTTTTACATTTATTTTTTCTTCTGCCGATTCCAATGCTCTGCTCCTCGCATTTTGCCATCATGTGGCAGCTGTGTGCGCACGCTGCGGCCTCGTCTTGTAAATAGTGTCATAAATAAATTTCCTATGATTTGTGGTTGCAATGGGGCGTATGCGCAATGTCACAACCTAAAGAACATGTTATTGTTGTCAAGGCGGCTCTAAGCAGCAGCTGGGGGCTTCAAAACTGTACTGTTAACTGTAAGAGCTTCGATTTTTACCCAAGTCTTTTGCGAAATTTCAGATCTCTTCATTTGTGCTGTTAAAAATAGTTATATTATTTTGATCACTAATATTTTATTTAAATGAGGGGGCTCTGTAGTGAAACTTCTTTAAAATTTTGGGACTTTATATAGTTTGGGCTCAAAGAAACTTGTGATTTAAATAAACATATAAATTAAACAAATAAATACAACGCCTTGCTTGCTAAATGTAATCAAACAAAAGTTCTGTTCAAATTACTTTCTAAAATGAAAGTGCTTATAGTTAATTGAATTATTTTTATAAAAAGCGCTGTGTTTCCACACTCCAGCCTATGCTGCAGTCTTTTTGAACAGCTGTTTGGCAAAATCTTGAAAAAATCTAAATCATTTGAAGAAATTCAAGTCAAATAAATAACACTCCAGGAAGTTGTGAGAATTGCCTTCAACCCACATGATAAATATTTCTGAATTTTAGTTTCTGCCTTTGATATTTGAAACTTATTGGTAGGTCTCGGACACAACGATTTGCATAATTTAATACGTCGTTTTATATTTTTTAGAAGAGCAGACTGCATTTTACTCCTACTGTCAACATTTGTTCAATATCGCAAAACAAAATCGCACTCAAATTTCTAAAACGTTGTGTACTACTCGTTTTGCCTTGAAAATGAACAGTAAATATTTTACACATAAATTGCACTTTGAAAGGTTTTCTGCAAAACAAAAAACAAACAAAATTGTTGGTACAGTTGCTGGAAAAAGGAGCAGTTGCTGGCACTTCTGCTGCAGTCGCTGCTGGCAGCGTGTTAGTGGCATACGATTTAATTACAAATAAAGTAATTTTTAATTGAATAACCTCTAAAGTTGATGAAAAACGTTTTGCAGACCGACGCGGCTGCCGCCGAGCGATGCAATGGCCAACCAATGCAGCCACCGCTGCAGTAACAATAGTAGCTTTTTGTATCGTTACACACACTCACACGCACGCACACACACACACACACACACGTACATATATCGCTTAAAAACTGATCGATTTTCAGTTGGGTCCGATGCAAACAGTGCTAAAAAAAAGACGCATCAGAAAAGCGGCAGAGCTGCCCTTTTCCCCCACCACGGCGTTGACTGTAACTTCATTCTCACCAAATTGTAAGCGTGCTTATTGTGTGGGTGTGTGAGTGAGTGTGTGTGTGTGTGTGTTTGCGTGTGCATGCCAACATTTGTTGTGTGTGTTTGCATACAGCATTTCCCAGTGTATCTGTGTGGACATTAATTTTGCCACTTTTCCGCCCCTTAATACGCGCAGTCCAGTGGTTTATTGGTCACCTTTTGATGCCCTACGTGTAAACCAAATAGCGTTGAATATTAGTATACGTACATACGAGTATGTATGAAGCATTCATTTGTTATTGTCACTGATATGTCCTCGAACATAACCTCAATCATGTGAAATTTCTAGCATTTATTCTAATAATTTTGTCGGGCTTATTCTTAGTACTCATTAAATTCCATTTGGTCTTACAAAACAATTCTATCGAAACGATGTTGTGCCTTAAACAATAATTTGATCGGTTTCTCCATCTACTCTAAAAAATGTAGAATCATTTTTTGTAAAGGGCATGCTTTCTCTCAACTGGATCAGTTTTAGGCCATCATTATGCAGAATAAAAATTTATTCCAGAATACAATTTCATAACAACAGGGTTCAATTAATATTAATCCCAATAATTACATAACATTTTTTAAATCTACATTCATCTAAAAACATTTTAATATTTTGTGAGAGGGCGATGTAGGGAAAGTATCCAAAATAAGACGACAATGCAAAATTCATTTGCCATTTATTCTACTTCCCTTGTAAGGATCTGACATTATCCCGAAGATCGTCCACAAATCTCGAATCAGTACGTTGATATTCAAAAAATGCTAATATTACTATTTCCGCTGCTTAAGTAATCGAACTAATAATTGCAAAGCGACAATCATTACAACGTATAATTCTAAATAATTTCTTTTATTTCAGCTTTGATAAGAACACTTCAGAGATAACCGGTTGATTGTCCATCTTGCAGTTAAATTAAATTTTATGTTAATACGATTATCTTTTGTAATACGGTAAGTTTTCTTTCTTATTCAACTATTCTTTCATATCTTTAAGCACATTTGATCGAACTTACCCATATGTTCCTAGATTTAAAATTTTCATGTGTGAAAATATATCTTCTAAATAAAAGCTTCGTATTAGCTGTGAGCTGTCTAATATACAAGTATGTGCACTTGTAAAGCGCACTCAGCTGTCTTCTTAGCCGTAATATGGATAATTTTTCCATGGTCGCGCATCATTCTGTGCTGTACTTTGTAGTCGCTTCTTTTTGCTGCGCTTATTTGCAATTGCATCATCGATTTAATTGCAAATTAATTGCTTCATCATTGGCGCACGCTGCTGCACATGACTGGCCTGGCCGGATGGTTGGCCTCAATGTGCCACCACAAGCGCAACCACCACCCCAAAGCGATCCCAAACCCGGACAAGTCAACAACACGGGGCACGGTTGCCTTTTGTGCGTTTGCAACGTTTATTTTTGCATTTTGCGCCGCTCGACAGCCGCGCTGCTGCATTACTTTGTAATTATTGTGGCAAATGGTTTGTTTGCATATTGATTACAGCTGCTTGCCGCAAAAAGCCAAACGTGGAAGGCAGTAGCATCATCGGTAGTGTTGACAGACCCACTCAGTAGCCCAGCAGGAGCGCAAAGGCGCGAAATACACAGGCGCAGGCCACAAACGGGCTACAGCGTTCGCCGATTCGCGCCAGCTTCCAGAAGATGCCCTTCCACCTGCGGAAGAGAAATTGGCAAATAAATTGAATTAGCGTTTTTCATTTTTTAAATCGATAAATATATCTTTTGTCCTCCTTTCTACTTTGCATTTTCAATCAGTGATCAATGTGCTTTGCTGACATTCTCAAAATATCTTCTTAAATGTCACTTAATTTGGGAAGACACTTAACAACAACAAAACTGAAAAACCTATTTATTTTATTTTTTACACTTATTTATTTTTTTAATAAAAGAATAAATTAATCAGAATTAGCGCCTTAACAATACATTTTTGTATATGTTTGTTTAATGGGGAAAACCTCGAGCATTTCCGCACAAGGATTATTAAGAACACTTTAAATAAAACTATACAATATTGGTTAGGTAATAAATATTGAATTAACACGTTTGTCATTTGGATTTAATTACTCATTTCCATGTTAGTAGAAAGAAGAATGAACATTATCGATAGGCATACTTTTTATAGAATTTACATACGGGAAGCGAACCCAATAGATAAATATCAATTATCAAAAGTTTATTTGAAAAGGAATTTTTAGCTGCTTAGATAAGCTTGGCCCTTGGCAAGAACTTTGCACGAGTGCTGATACGTACCCCTGACGGTTCTGATCCAGCAATTGCGGAACAACCGAACGCACATAGGCGCAAGTGCAGGTGAGCAGCAAGAGCACGGAGACCATGCTAGATAGACTGAAGAGGGCGGACTGTATCTGCAAAGTGATATGTTAGTGGCGGTCATCGATGTAAGAGTATATTCGGTAGACACCTACCATGTTTCCTTAAATATAATTTGGTAGCAATTTCAACAAATTGTTCTCAATGATTGATTGACAAACAGTTGGAAAGCGTCTGAGTTTTGTCTACAAAAAATGAAATTAAATTGAAATTGCCTTAATGCAGTGAAGTAGGCGAATGTAATGGAATTTGCTGCGGCAATTGCATTCTAAAACTGGCCACAAGTACAGCAACAACAACAAAAAGTGTTGTCTACTCGTACATTGCTGCGCCTGCAGGCTACACAAAAGAAAAATGGACGCTCCGACAACTTACCACATCGTAAAAGCAACAACAACGAAAAAATTTGCGGTTGATGCATTTTTATGAAACGGAACGACAAGTAGACATGGCTCTGTATGCGGGTGTGTGTGTTGTATATATATATATATATATATATATATATATATATATATATATATGTGTGTGTGTGTGTATGAAGAAAATATAATAATAAACTAGAGAAATGACAAAAGACATGTTAAAAGCACAAAAAGTGGTAACGCCGTTGACAGCAACAAAAAAGTAGACAGCGGCAGCACTCCTGATAGGCGCTATAGGGCGGCAGCAAGGGAGAAGGCAGGAAGGCGACTTCTAAAAGATTTACTTAAAAACTAAAAAAGAAGGAGCCGAACGCCAGAGACAGGACAAGACGAACGAACAGAAAGTGTGCAAAAGTGCCAACACTAAAAAATATTTGCACAACAATGGCAAGAAACATGGCATAACGCGGACAGCGCATAAAAGTATGCAAAAAAGGGAGTACACAGACTTGAAATAAAGTAGTTCACCATAGGACAAAAGGACGAAATTTTGGCACCTAGCCGAGGTGTTAGAAATGAATGCTTAGAGTTTTTTTTTCTGTGGTGTTTCAGGTAGGTAGAAATATTTCAAAAAGTACGATAACTTCTGAAAATGTAAACGTTTCCAATTTCATTCCAAAGTGTAACGATGTCTATTAAGTAAAAAAAAAGCATTTTAAATGCCCTAAGATGACATTTTTTTAAAAACCGAAAGCACTTACCCGAGTTTAATTAACTTTTTTAAGATTTTAGTTGGTTTCATTGCCATAACCTTTTTAAAGAGTTTGTAGGCTTACGTTCATTATTTTTGTTTAGTAATTAAGTTCTGAAAACTCAATCCAGCAAAACTCAATCATCCTTTGCAATCTGTCTAATTTAGAATGAAAACAAATTTCTTTATGATTCATAAATGAAATAATTAATGGTCGAGTTTATTTAACAAATTTAATGATTGTCCACGATGGACATTTTTAAATAAAAACATTCTGCTAATACAAAAAAAAAATCTTTAGGAATATTTATTTAAAGTGTTTCTAAAATAATTTTCGAGTGGTGATAAAACGCCATTGAAATTCAGAGAAGTTTACTTTAAGGGTTCCTTTATGCTCCTTACCCATGTATATTCAGTAATTTCCAAATAATTGGGGAGTTGTTTAAACACTTGCTTTTACGAACTAAAAGTTAACTACCGGCAGCAGTCGATTTTATTTTTAAAAACCTTACTCAAATCATTTTGATAAATACATAAGCTTTCTATCCCATGGTGTAGCGCAGTGTGGCCGTACTTTGGAGTAGGTAGTAACATAAAATGTAAGTAGCTATAAAATATGAATATAATAGAGCACATCACATCATAATGCGCCCCAGAAGCGAATATGCAATGTGGCCAGGACAATAGGAGAGGGATGGTTTGAAATACTTCAAGATTGGGAGTAAGTGGTGGGAAAGGGAGTAAAAGAGTAAGATTGTGAAGCAACAGACGATAGGTGGTTTTTTTTAGCGGTTGGGTAAGGGCTGACAGTTAGTTAAATCTGTGAAGTGATCGAAGTGACAAGCATGATGAACATGGAAAGGCTGTGGCTGAGACACAAAGTAAGAGGACACTTGAATTGCTGCGGAAGTGTCGAGGGAGCGAGAGAGAGAGAGTGCGAAAGAAATGCATATGACAATGAAACTCAAGTTATTTTGCAAGTTTTTTATCGAAAGCACACTTTAGTTGCGGCTCCTCCTAATTGTGCGTGTGCGCGCGCAAAAACTTTTGCTATAAAAAATATACATCTATACATCTGACTAAAAGGGTTGTCACACACAAGCGATGAAGCGTTTAAGTTTATGAATATTGTATGCTGATGAATAGAGTGCTAAAATAATATTAACTCAATCTCTTTTTTTTTTAATGAATATTGTCATAAGCAATATGCGGACTTGGCTAAATGTGAATTGAATTCCAGTAAACCTCAAATCAATGAAGAATATGTACCTCAACTTCATTTCTTCTAATACTTAATTATTCCTTTAAAATGGTAACATCTTTAATAACCTTCTGCTGTTGTTAGAACTGTATTTAAAATGTTTAAAGATTTTTATAAAAATAAAGTAGTTGAGCATTGTAGGGAATAGTTTGCTTTTAGCCTAAAACGATTTAATTAATAACTGCTAAACATTCTAGTTCTTTTTGTATTACTTGTATTATTCTAGCCACAGATAGAAAACCACAAGAAACCTAAGGAATATTTGGTTATAATTGTTATATATATTTTTTTTAAGCTTTGAAAACTCTCTAGTACGAGGGTGTAATAAGAACCAAGAATTGGCTTACTATACCTCTTGTTGAAATCTGATTCACATTAAAATATAAAATGAAGTCGATTTCCAAATGTATCATTATTCCAGTATAATGGATCAAATAAACGTACAGTTGAAATCTTTAAATTCTTACAGAGTTTTCAAGTTAATCAAAAATCTATTAAAAATTTTGGGCAGTTGGTGTTCGGTGTTTTCTACAAATTCATATTTTTTGATGAATTTTTTAAAACTTTAAACTAAATGGTGTTTGTTGCTGGCACTTGTCGCCTTTACAGCTGAACGGTCAATCAATAAACAAACAAAATGCGCCCAGTGCGACATATTAACAACAACAATAACAATGAATAGCCAACGCCTATATCAACACCTTGGTGCACACGAACAATAACGGGAATGGCCACACAAAGGGCTTTTGCCAGCCAGCCAGGAGCTGGTAGTTTGATGAAGACGCGTCAGGGTCTATGCATTATATAGAAATATACTATAAGTGTATATAAAAGGCAATTGCAGCCTTGTGGGCAAACATTAACGCCGACCATGGCCGTCAGGAAGTTGCACAATCAGCCCGACATCAGCTAGCCAGCCAGCCAACCGGGCAGGCAGTCAGTCAAGTTGTCAGTTTGTCAGTTAGTCAGTTAGCCAGTTATTCAAGCAGGCGAGCCCGGCGGCATCAATGATGGCGTCGTCGTCAGCCACATGCATTCAAGTCAAGTCAACTTAAGTCAGTCATTCCGTCAATAACTTGCCATTGATGGCGAGCGTTTGAACACAAAGGCGACGCGAAGTGTATGCAACATAATTTGCACAGCGGCGGAAGTGGAAGGATCCAGGACTCAGCAGGACCAGCAACTTTACACAAAGGCCAACGGAGCGAGAGAGCGACGATGGCTACTAACCACAGGCAAAGGGCGGACAGGCAGATGGGAGGACGGACGGTCGATTGCCAATGACGCGTTGCGGTTTATTACCAATGCCATTGTATACTTTATGACGTTGCCAAAGTAAATGGGCGTGGCTTTGGGAAGGGGGCGACATCAAGCGCGTCAGTATAACATTAAGTGTGTGTGCAAATGTGCAAGAGATGCGGAGGTGTGTTGACTTTTAACTTAAATAAATTTGCCTGCAGACGCAACAGTGGCACAAAAAGCAGCTATAATGTTGTGGGTGTGGTGAGCAGTTACGAAGGCTTCGGAAATTTGATTTAAAAATCATAGAAAATTAGTGTCGCCATGGAAGGGTCTAATATCGGAAGGGAAGCGAGATAAGCGGGAGGTAATAATAGTGTGTATTTATTTATTTTATTTTATGTCGATGTTTGTCGATTGTGTCGGCATATGAAAAACAATATAAAAGTTATTAAGAGGTCCTATACAATGGGAAAGCCTATGTTGGAAAAATCTGATCAAATTCGAATAATATCTAATCAACGCCTCTGACTTCATGGGGGGGATCCTAATTGCCATTCCGCTAGCTATGCACCGAATCACAGGCATTTCCATTTCCATTCTCGTATATGATCAGCATAGGGATCGCAACATTCCAACAGATCCTATATTATATGATAATAGTCGTAATCTAAGGTTTAAGTAAAATCTTTGTTCAACAAATTTCAAAATTCGTTCATTACAGGAGACTTGGAATGTTTTTTCTTACTCTTCTCTTTCTATTCACCATTTCAGTCGTTACAGTTCCATTATCCTTTCCTACCTTAGTTCTTGTGTCTACCAATTCTGTGCCTCAATCTTTCTCTAGGTCAATATCTACTCTTTGTAGCCTATTTCGATTTCATTCTTCGACTCTTTCTGCAACATTTTATATTGTTCAATAATCTTTTTGCTTCTTTAAGACTCTTTATTAGCCGCAGTCCACATCTAACTGCCCATATTATTTGCACAATTTCTGTTACTGTGGCCCTTTCCTGTCCCGCCGTCCAAACAACTCGATTGCATTTTCATGTGCGTGTTAATTTTATTTCCTTTTTATTTTCATTACGCTTACTTCAATGACCTTTTTCTGTACACTGCTGCCGGTGCCGATGTTGATGCTGTAGTTGTTGTTGTAGGTGTTGCCTTTGGTCCACTTCGTTGCCACATTTGTGGCATTTTAGTTGAGTGCATTTTAAGTGCTACGAGGCATGGCCCCTGGTACTCGTACTTCCTAGCTCTGTCCAAACTTCCTAGCCACTATGTAGCTCAAAATGGGCAACGTTGTTGATGGCTTCAAGGTTATTGCCCGCCTTCTAGTGGGCAGTAGCAAACATTTTTGTGTTATTTACATTTTTGCTACCTTTGGCTGTCGGTGCTTTTTTCGGGGCCAAAAGTTAAACAAAGTCTAGACGGCATATACAGAGCACACAAGAGAGCAAAAAATGTTTAAATATGCCATAAATATTTCAACATGTTCAAGTGAAATCACGCATACGCACTGTAAGCTTTCCAAAGACCTCAAGGGCTGCTCAGAAAAGTATATGTGTGTGC